GGAATAGCGCTCACTTCCCCATCTACTCCAGAAGGCTTAAAGCGTCAGAATACGTTAAGGCTAACGTCTACAAATGAATAATTAAGAAGTTATGAGTAAATTGTGTTGCTATAGCACGCGGGGGGAAACCTGCATGATGATCATATTTCTAAGCCGGCTAAGCTAACGGATAAGCCTGGATTGGGCCGTAAAGAACATCGCGGATCAAATACGGGAAATCTTCTAAGGAAGAATTCTTGGGGCTAAGTACAATCGGCTTCCCGATGGAGCCCTTTCGCCCTTTGGCCGTGGGCAGAGTGAAGAAATCAAAAGATAAAAATGACAATTACGAGAATCAGCGTACAGCAGAAACACCTCTGCACTGCTGAGTTTACACGATCATCACCCATGTACTACATGAATTGGTCCCCATGGTCCAGCTGTAACAACTTTTCGCCCCCTGCAGTAGCACTACACGCTCTGTGATGAAAGAAGAAGAGAACAGTTGTTGTGCGGGAGCTTTTCGCTCGTTGCCCACTTAGCCTTACCCTCGAGATGATCATGATAGCATGTGCCTATACATACCTGCTCAATAGACGGAGAAAGTGACGAGGATTGAGATCGGGTACCATCAGGTGTGTCGTGGTCAAGCGATGCAAAATCCCCAAAACGTTGAATCAGTGGAGAATCAGGTGCATCAGACTCAATAGGTAGTTCAGGAATCGGTTCCGGTGTGACAATTGGGGAAGGTGAAGTCTGTACAGGAGACTGTTGACTGGGCTGAACGTCGACCATCGGTGGTCGAGGTAGTATTCGTCCAGAAGCCCGTCGCTCCAGAAGCGCTGCAGATGGACATCGGCTAACGTCGATGGGTGAAATCGGTGGTGGAGTAGGCAGAATACGTGGACTACTGGATCGTCGTAATGACGTTACAGGAGTCGGAGGTAACTGCCGTCGACGACAGACAGGCTCCAGAAGAGCGGGATACGTGGACATGCTGCGTCGTTGATGCATGGTGAATTCAGTCTTCCTTGTATGGACATATGGGCGTGGCCGACGGCTTAGACGGCTGGGCGAGAGCGCAGAGTGGCCAGGGTGCGCGGAGCAGAAGTCGGCCAGTCAGGGACGCAGAGGCATCTTGGCGATCTCTTTTTTCCGAGTGGGATGCGCTCGGCACACAGTGTATGTGTGGGGGGAGGAAACGCAAAGCGCACAGGAGATATTTCGGGATTCGAGCTTTACAGCGAGGTACGGCCGTGAATCGTCACCCGCTCAGTAGCCCCAGCCCCAGTCGCAGCCAGCCAGCCAGCCAGCAGCAGCCAACCAGGCAGCCGTCGTGTGTCAGTTGCAGCAGCCACAGCCAGCCGGGTGTGCATAGAGCGAGCTCTTCTATCTAGACACCTTCGAATTCCAACAACTACTCAACTGCGATCACATCTACAGCGATGTCAGCCAACTTATACAGGTCGCCTTCACAGGCAGCAGTCTACAAGTCACCATCCATGAGCGCCTTCGGTGCCCCATTTGGCAGTATGTCCGTCGCCGATCTTGGCTCCCTTACTCGTCTCGAGGTATGCAGTTAGTTCTATCTCAGTAGATTTATACCCTAATCCCAGTTAGTATCAGCAAGGGGAGCCTATGGGTGTGCTAGCCGACTTCCTGGGGAGTTTGCATGGGGCTCATTTGTAGGCTATGACGATAAGCTATTTGATGCTGACTGTTTTTAGGACAAAATCCGACTCCTCCAGGAGGATCTCGAATCTGAGCGCGAGCTCCGCAACAGAGTAAGTGACTGTTTCTAATAGAAATCATAAGTATTGATCAATGATCTCTTCTCGTTTTGAAGGTTTTCAGGCCAGAAACCTTGAAAAATGTGAAATATTTCGTTTTAGTTTTCTTGTCCTTTGATAAGGTTATTCTATGTACCTCCTACATCCATCATAGTGCTCTTAATTAGCATTATTTATTAGATTTACTTGTTTTACTTTACTCAGGTAATTATAGATGACATCTATATGCAAGTTCAATTATCCTAGAAAAAAAGGGGAACCCTCGCTGTTTCAGATCGAACGTGAACGTGCTGATCTTAGCGTTCAACTTATCGCCCTCACTGATCGTCTCGAAGATGCCGAAGGAACAACCGACAGCCAGGTAATCAATAACGATCGATATTCTCGCTTGTTACCAAAATTTACGCCAAGAAACTGTTTTGTTGCGTATTTGTTGGGATTTTTGATTGGGGCTTACCAAACCGGGCGGAAAATTGGTGTGTTTTCTTTGGAATGCGCCAAAAGATCGTCGAAAGATCAGATTTGCAATTTCGATTGATAGGGTTTCCTTTGGGAAGGAGGCGATTTTGAGACCTTTTTGAAAGAAAACGAATGATTACATTCTCTCTTTCGACAAGTCTGTATACGGTAACACCGATCAATATATCGATTTTTCCAGATCGAATCAAACCGCAAACGCGAGGGTGAACTGATCAAGCTGCGTAAGCTGCTCGAAGAATCGCAGCTCGAATCCGAAGATGCTATGAATGTGCTGCGTAAGAAGCATCAGGATGCCTGCCTTGACTATCAGGATCAGGTCGAACAGCTGCAGAAGAAAAACGCCAAGTGAGCCAGCCACTGGGTTGTTTTAAGCCCATGGGGAAATCTGTACTAGGACCAGTAACTGGGGGAACGTTCCTATTGCTTCGAGATCCCCTTATTAGGTCTGAGCTTGGGGAAATTGTGATGGCTAGGAGATAGATTCAGCTTCTTCGATGCCCGATTTTTTGCGATTTTGTTTAATTCACGGTCGATATCGATGATCCGTCTTCAAAATACGATGGAGCCTGACTTTCGAAGCATTTTCCGAGCCTATAGCCAACTTCCCTCGCGCTTGCCGATGTCGGCTGCCACGGCTCTTTACACAGTCATCGCGCTCTGACTGATAACTCTGCCACATCCCTAGCACCATCGAAATACTGGGTCAATGGTGGAGAGTGCCAGAAGGGTGTTCTCTTCGGTAGAGTGATGGCAATAGAGAAATCCCGGAGAGGCAGTGAGAGATCCACCTTCCGACGAGGAATTTGCCATTCGGGTGTTGTAATGGTGATCTTCTCTCGGACGGGTAACAACACATAATGTTTCAAGCACACGAAAGCAATAGTCATGGGTTGTAGATTGACGAGCCCCCTCGTTGTCTCTGGGGATAGGAATCGGTCCAGTCATGCACATGGGATATCACGAGCCTCTTTTTGATAGAATGGCTTTTCCCCTCAACGATGGACTTTCTATTAGCTCAAACCATGTCATTGGAGTATACACATATAAATCATCCTGGAAATAAGAGATATTTGAGCAATCGGGTGACTGAATGTGCCCATAAGGTCGTCAAGGAGATGAATTACCCACTTGGACAACCGAGCTTAGGCAGTAGTTTGGGCAGAAGGATAATGGAGGGCAAGAAGGGTAAAGGACCTTAGACCATTCCCTTGAGTCCTGACAGTCCTACAGTACCAATATTACTCGAAAAGTTACCAGTTATTGATAAACTGATAGTGATACCGTATAGGATCGATCGCGAACGTCAACGCCTCCAGCATGAAGTGATCGAACTTACTGCTACAATCGATCAGGTTCAGAAGGATAAGGTATTTTTACAATTCTCCGTTATCATATCGTATCACATCTTATCATCTGCTACTGCTCCCATTCAATCGTCTCCCACACCACATTTTCTCCTGTTTCCTCCTTGTTTGCCACATTCCTCATTGTTTCGAAAGCATACACCCAAAAGTTAAATGACCCGAGTCTGACGAAGAGTCTGCCAAGAGCGCCGCAGTAAAGAGTTATTGAGCCCTGAGGATTAGCCGTCTCCACGGCATAGGAGCCCTCTAATGATGGCGAAGCTATTTGTCATTGAGCCGCCATTCAAGGTTCATAGGAGGTGTTCCCCTGTCAAAGGTATATCCTCGAAAAAATGAATCCCATACGGGAAGTCTGTCCCCAGAGCCATCATAGTATCTGTAAGCGGCTGTCTTGAGAAAAAGGATGATTGAAGGCGTGATTTTTCGAACGCTGTAAAACATGAAATCCCGAGGAGATTCTTACGATTCGCCCACAGAGGGCTGCTGGCTGGTGGTAGGCGAGGTGGACAGCTGTTCAAGCTTAACGGAATGTTTTCTTTCTTTTCTGAGCACAGTTCACGTCCTGCTAAACCCCCTCTTGATGGACATCCTAATTTTTTCGTCCACAGAGTGCCTACTTTACAACATAACCTTGAAAAATAGAATCTTTTTTGGATGGTCCCAGGCCTCACTATTGGGGATACGGTGGGTTGACTAGCCCCCTATGACTTCAAAAAAATTCGGTTCAGAGGCTATTTGTTCCGCTTTGGGTGTTTATACCCTACGGGAAGGGTTAATGGGAGGAAGGGCTANGGGGGGGGGGGGGGGGGGGGGGGGGGGGGGGGGGGGGGGGGGGGGGTTCTTTGAGATCCGCCACTTATTCGACAACAATACGGAAACATTGGAATATTTGAAAAGCATTTAATTGTCGCAATGAATGGGCCAACCGAGTTGGAGGTCCAAGAAATTCTCATTAAAATCTTCCACTCATGGTCTGGGGGTTTCGATGACCGGAATGGGACGCGTTCCTATGGATATACGAAAGGGCATCTTCAATCACTGTGCTTTACTACCTTTTTTGCTGGTGAATATTGCCAATAGATAGTGGTGGCGGTATGGCCTATAACCCTGGCATAGCCAGCAATATGTAAAGGCGACAGACCAGAAATCTTTGACTAGTCCGGGTCCAAAATCTCTCCATAATCTTCTAGACATGCCTAAGATCGTCTATGTGCCCCTATGGACCCAGTTCGAACCCTGAACAGAATGATTTCCTGGGAGTTTTTCGACTGCCTCTTGTCAAAGTACCCTGAGGGTAAGAGAACCTTGGGGATATGCTAGCTTCTTCACTGAGTTGTAAAATGCTTTGTCGCCTACGTTTGCACCTGAAACGAACAAATGTGCCACCAGCAGGGTTTGCAGAAGTGGCCTTTAACCGCCTCCGTGCGCTACCCTCTATACGAGCCAAATATCTTTGACGAATGACCATCCAAAACGACGTCATTTGTTCTCTGTCGTGGCGGAAAGTCAGAAAAATGTCTGTGCCCTGAAAGCCACTGCTGTTGCACGAAATACCTCAGCTAGCAGTTGCATTCCAGAAAAATTCGAGTGAGTTTACTGTAAGAAAAAACTGCAGTTACCGTATTCTCAAAGGGTTCCGACACTTTACAAAGGGATCATCAGTTTGTTGAATTAGACCCGAGACAGATAAGATTGTTCTGTAAGTGGCGGTAAACATTGAGAAAGAACTAATTCGTCCAAAAACGTTTCATTTACCGATTATTGATTGATCTAATTTTTTGAAAAAATCCTATGAATCGATACGATGATTTCGTCGACTTTGTCGAGAGTTTCATTTTTCGCGACACTCCAGGCGGGTAAACAGTCGCGCCGATGTGATGATGGCTTGAGTGAGCACAGCCGAGTGTCGTCGATTCACCGGTTTAGCTTTGGATGAGTGGATTGACGAAAGGTCGCAGAGGTTACTGGTTGGGTTAGGAATCACAGTTACTCAAAGGTTGGGACAAATCAGGAGGTTCAAATGGATCTTGGGACGTTTGCTTTCGGGCTGCTTGTCTCCCTGATAGGTGGAAGATACCATCAAAGCTCCGAAAATGGTTGAAAGCAGGATGCAGGGCCTTCTTTAAAAACTGAAGGGTGTCCTGTCCCGATCTAGGAAGTTCTGCAACACTTCTATCCTCTAATGAGATCCCTAAGCTGTAATCCCAAAGCTGTGTTGGGGTCTTCCCGGAAACGACTGCATTTTCGGGATCGTAAGAAGCTTAGGGATTAACTGCAGGGGCTCGGTGGAGCTTATCAACACTACTTGGCATCACCTACTGGCTCTACTTGCGTATTCAAGCCGATTGGGCCATATCTAGGGAGCACAGGATTCCTGGACCGCGAAGCGCATGCCCTAGATGAACGGTGCTTCAGGTACAGACTGTCAAGCAATGAAAGGTCATCAATCAGTTTGACTCTAGGAACTTGCTACATTCACGGTTCAGGTGCTTTACGCATATGGCCCAGGGATTTCACACCTAAGTAGCTCGAAATTATCCAAGCCTAGGAGATTTTCCTTTTCTTCATTTCTGGTCGCTCGGCTCCAGACTTGTCCGGAGACCTAGAGCAACAATGTTGACCTAGGCCGACTCGGACAGCATTTCTTGAACAAGCCTTCCCGGTCGAGTAGTTTTAGAATTCAATCTGAAATGTAAGTGCCTGGCGCATCCCAAAAGAAGTAATCGTCCCTGATCAGTTAAACCTTCACACCTTTACTTTTTCCCTCAACTTTTCGCTCTTCACCAGACGACTCTTCACACAGGAACGTCAGCAAACACATCCACGCACTTTTCGGATCAACTAATCCTTGGCCTACAAACCCATCACGAACACCCTTGACGAACTCCTGGCGGCTTCACAACCTCAACAGTGGCCTCGCAGAGAAATCCGCTCCTGTACGTGACATACCTCTCCCAGTCGTCGTTTCTCATAAACACATGAAGCACGTGGGAATATAAAAGCAGTTATTACAGTCACTTCAACGTTAAGACCTCCACCATTTCTTTAATGGCCTGGCAATAACGGGAGAAGTGCTTGGAAACGCTGCGAACTAGTCACGATTGCACTTCGGAAGTGCAGTATCGCATTCAAGACACCTCCCATGGGAATTCGTTCGAAGAAAACATCAGCTTTAGATTTAGCTGAGAAGGCTATTATCACTTGCGTCGCGGGAAATCCGTTGCTTGGGATTGATTGGGTTGCGGTAGAGGGATTAGACGAGTCATCCAGGGAAAGGGAATACGTGAAATTTTTCTTCGGTCAGAAGCACAACCACGATCTGGTTGGTGATGGTTCCCCTCTGGGAGATCTAACTCTTCCCTGTTTATCTCCAGGTCTAGTTAGCCTGGCCAGGTGGAATGGGTTATGGAGGAGGGCTTTTCGATGTGGTAATCACCCTTTGAATCGATAGAATCCAGTCCTAACCTCGCACAATACGCCCTCTTACCAGTCCAGATCCAGTCTGCTCCTTTGCCGATCTCCCAAGCCGATGCTGACGCGGTGGCGCTTACTCTCGATCAAGTGGTTGGTGGCAAGAGCTAGTCGGCCATGGATCGGTAGATTGATGAACCTCAATCCAGATGTTCATCGGAGCCCTCCACCCCCGCTCCCACCTCTTCACCCACCCGCCAAGAAGCACCTACTTCCGACATCGAAAGTTCATTTCTAAAATAAATAGAAAGGTTCCAGATCTGAACTTCGGGGCCTCACTAGAGGCAGGGACTTTTGAGAGGGAACTTAACTTTTTCTGTTTGCACCAGTGGTCGCCCTCACACGTCAGACGGTAATTTGATACCCATACAGTACACCCCATGAATATATTCAGTTTCATAGAAAAATGGCAATATTGCATGTCTATGTGGGGAGAATTTTTCCCAGAACTTTCACGGAATGAAATCCTAGGATATGGCGTGACATATAGTGCATATTCTGAAGGGTCTTCTAATTTACAGAAACGGCGTGTGAAGCCGTTTTTCCCAGCTCGCATGCGTATATAGTCTGACTTCTGACTGGCAATTTCTTGGTATAGATGTGGGCTGGAGATCGTTGAGCTGGCTGGCTGGCATTGCAGCTCGACGGCCACGCAACGGCGGTGTAAAGCGCAGGCGGCAATCTTACACTCAACATACACACATACGCTTGGTCTCAAAAACAGTCCTCTTATACATACACCCCCTCCCATTCTATCAACCACCTACCGTTGAAACACTGGCCGTACACCGAAAACACCTCTCATAATGGCCAGGACATTCCAAGGACACTTCAACAGGAGGATGTTGGCTGAAAATTAACAAAACGACAAAAAAATGTCGTCCAGATGTTTGAAATGAACAGCATCTGGACAGGTGGGAGGTATGTGTGAACTGATGGCGACATTGCTGGGAGAAAAACCCTTTATGGAGTGGGATAATGGGATATTTAGGGTGAGTCCGGGCCAGACCTGCCCGGGAAGAAAACCCATTCAATTGTTATAACGATCCTGAATGGAAGTGAAATGTATGGCGCATGCTGATGAAGGCGTCTGTCCGTTAATGCGCTCTTTCCTTTTCTAGTGAAGAAACAACGTGGAAATGTAGGAGAATAAGACGTGAAGCTATTGAAACTTGAACACCACCCAGTTCTTTTACTACGCGCCATGCATTCGACTTCTAAACTGAATCATAGGACTTTACAAATCGGTCATCGGCCATTCGGATGGCTGTAAAGACCCATTTCCCAGACAAGTACTGTGTAGAATGATCAATACCAGCTGGGCGGAAATCACGATTGGCTCAGATGGCACACGATATTACACGGTACTGGTATTGCATCGTAGCCCGTAAGGAGGTGCTTGAAGACGTTCGATCTCCCCACTTAGGGCCGAGTACGATATTTCAGCGTACGGTTTTCTACGCAATCGAGCTTTTCTTTTTTGGACCCCTTCCGTTCCATGCTTCTTCTCTTGCAGTCACTTACTTGCCTCACTGAGCTCCCGATCCTTTCTACCTTCCCACTCAGATCCCTCCCTTTACCTAAATGAACTGATTCTTTTCCAGCATGTTGCCGAGAAGGCTGCTGAGCGATTTGAGGCACAGACGATCGAACTTTCCAATAAGGTACGGTCATCTTTGAAGTAGTACGGTATTCATCCATCGTAGCGGTCTTTTTTCAGGTGGAGGACCTCAACAGACACGTGAATGACCTCGCCCAGCAACGTCAACGCCTTCAGGCTGAGAACAACGATCTCCTNTACCTTCCCACTCACAATCAGATTCCTCCCTTCACCTAAATGATCTGATTCTTTTCCAGCATGTTGCCGAGAAGGCTGCTGAGCGATTTGAGGCACAGACGATCGAACTTTCCAATAAGGTATGGCATCTTTCAAATGGTACGTTACTTATCCATAGTAACGGTCTTTTTTAGGTGGAGGACCTCAACAGACACGTGAATGACCTCGCCCAGCAACGTCAACGCCTTCAGGCTGAGAACAACGATCTCCTCAAGGTGAGCCTGGGATTTTCTTCTTTCCGCTTACTTTTAATTGGGTTCTACTCCTATCCAATGCCGCTCAAACCTTTTCATCCTGAAGGACCCATTTCCAGTTGGAATAGGTCAGACTAAGCCCAAAAGTGTTTTTATCCTGGGTGACGTCTTGGCAGCCACTTGACACCATCCCCACAGAACAAACAAATCCGATTTTCGATTGATTCCGCCCTGGAATTCCTTTCAATATTTACGCATTCCAAAATTTCCTTGTGCATTTTTACGTCCACACCAATCAGAGTTTACTTCTCACACCTCGCTGCTGCACTAAAAACATCACGGTCGTAGTTGCGACAAATACACCAAAATGGCGTCATTTTCATCGTTACGTTCCGGTTTTTAAAGCTTATCTACTGCGGAGGATGACATGACATCAGCGACACGCCAGAATAAACATCGCATGCGAGCATACCCAATACTTCAAGAACTGCCTGCCACACCATGGGGCATGCATATCCTCCCTACAAACATACGCCTACATACAGACAGTCGTTATTGATCAGTATTGATTTGTGGTTTTCAGGAGGTTCACGATCAGAAGGTACAGCTCGACAACCTGCAACACGTAAAATACACTCTTGCTCAACAGCTTGAGGAGGCCAGACGTCGTTTGGAAGATGCCGAGCGAGTGAGTTGGCCTTTCAGTTCTGACTATGGATGTAACGACTTCATTTGGGTAATAGCCTGCTCGTTACGGTTTTCCCCAGACAGCTTCGGGAGATCAGAATCTGAGGGTTACATACGCTAGTCGATACGGGAGTTCATTAGAGGGAAGCTCCTGCTGACAGTGAGTTCAGCCAGGCTCTAAGAATCACGGGGTCCAATAGCTGGAAGCCACCGCTAGCCCACGCTTCCGGTATCCCCATAGACGGATGTACCAACGGCATCAAAGATTTGGGAATAATCTGGGCTCCAATTTTTCCTGAACTCAGCATGTTTGTAGGTAGAAGTGCTCGTTCGGGTTTCAGCTCGCTCAAGTATTCCCAGAAGTTTCTTCGGAGAAGTTGTCTATTTATGGGACAGAAATATGAGCTCAACCATTCTCCGCCGACTTTACTGGGTGTCAATTTTCACACGGCATGGACATAAATCGTTTCTTAATTGATGCCTGAAATCGGAGACGGCCAATATCGTGATGAAACTGAACTTATACGTAACTTGGACCATGGCGAAAATTCTATTAGGGACTTCCAACGTTGGGAAAAGGCAAAACTACTGTGGCCATGGGTGAGGGCATCACTGTAGTTGTAGCAGCCAGCCGTGGACTAGCAAACGTTCAGCAGAAACTTCGCCCATGATTCTGTCCCAGGAATCGGGTGATGGAAGTCTTGTAAGGGTTCCATACGTAGTATGTCACTACATCCAAACGGATTGCTCTAGTCCCCCTCAGGTTTCTTTAGGGGTGCTGGCAAGAGTTGCTGACCCAGGCTCCCAGGCTGGGTGACTCAGCTGGTTGGAAGATGTTTATGATGATGTCGTGGCTCACCGGATGTTTTCGCTTGAGATCCTCTTGTTATATTTAAATTCATGCGTCATAACCCGGGGTAAATACGTCGCAAGCCGAAATCACCTGACCAAATGACGATGAGGGAATTTTTACGCCAATTTCTTAGAAACACCCAAATGGTGGGCGCTTGGGCGTTGAAGGATTGCTGTTGGCCATGTATTTTTATCTGATGACGAGATTCTGATGGCCTTTTTCCATTGTAATCTGACAGTCGGGAAACGAATAGGTAGCCGGGCTAAATTAGCTGAATCCATAATAAAGTAGGAAAGATTTTCCGTAAAGCAAACGATAGCCTCCGAGGAAGGGGGGATTGCTTGATGGATCGGCCCTTGGCCGATTGCTGGATGATGAATTTGGTAGGATTAGCAAATGACGGCTACTTTTAGCAATTCACCCAACAATTCACCCCAAGGTTGCTGCTATATGGGTACCTGAAAGAGCAAACTTGTGAAAAGCATGGGAAAAGCCCTTCTCTCCCATACGGAGACCCAGCACCTGGTACAGACTTTGAAGTGCCTTCCTCCCCGGGAAACGACCCCTGAGAGTTGATACCGACAAATCATACCGAAAATTTGAATGAAACTGACCGATTCCTCTGACATGGCTCCACAATCAGCCTCCAGGTAGTTCGGGACAATTTCAAAGGGATCCGAGACGATGATACGAATTGAAGGTAGGTAGCTGCTGCCTAGACTGCTTCTGAAGCCGCAGATTGCTGAATGGCGCGGAGCTCCTTCCTCTATGGGCCGAGTCAATGATGAACGGGCCGGCCGTACCGGGGATTTACTTTGGCGGCACTTTACAGCTACATAATCCGGGCCATCATTTCAGGAACGCTCCCAGCTCCAGTCTCAATTGCATCAAGTACAGCTTGAACTCGACTCTGTACGCCAAGCTCTTGATGAAGAATCTGTGGCTCGTTCTGATGCTGAGCATAAGCTGAACTTGGCCAACACAGAAATTACCCAGTGGAAGAGCAAATTCGATGCAGAGGTATGGCTGTTATGTAGGGCTCAGGAGGTTCTGTCAAGGTGAAGTAATTCTATTTTAGGTTGCTCTCCACCATGAAGAAGTTGAAGACCTGCGCAAGAAGATGCTCCAGAAGCAGGCCGAATATGAAGAACAGATCGAGATTATGCTCCAGAAGATCAGCCAGCTCGAGAAGGCTAAGAGCCGACTCCAATCCGAGGTTGAGGTGCTCATTGTTGACCTCGAAAAGGCCCAGAACACCATCGCCATCCTCGAAAGAGCCAAGGAGCAACTTGAGAAGCAATGCGCTGAACTCAAGGTACGTACCCTTACCCAATAGGGGTTTATGTAGGTATACCAATCCCATACCGTTTTAGGTCCGCATCGATGAATTGACCGTGGAGCTCGAAGCTGTGCAACGTGAACTTCGCGCTGCTAATGCCGAACTACAGAAGATGAAGCATCTCTACGAAAAAGCCGTTGAACAGAAAGAAGCTCTCGCCAGAGAAAACAAGAAGCTCCACGGTCAGTTGACCCTAGATAAGCCATAGGTGGCTAGCGTGATACCCGGGTGACTGAACCCATTTTCAGATGAGCTCCATGAGGCTAAGGAGGCTCTTGCCGATGCTAACCGCAAACTGCACGAGCTGGATCTGGAAAATGCCCGTCTCGCTGGCGAAATTCGCGAACTTCAGACTGCCCTCAAGGTAAGAATAGCCCGTAATAGGTGCTCTCATAAGAGCTGGTACCCAATTTGACCATCAGATGGATGCCTTCAACGATATTCCTTTTAGGAAGCCGATGCTCAACGCCGCGATGCCGAAAACCGTGCTCAGCGTGCTCTTGCCGAACTCCAGGCCCTGCGCATCGAAATGGAACGCAGACTTCAAGAGAAGGTCCGTGTACAGCCCGTATTGGTCCCCTAGCTCCCATGAAGGAAAGTTTTACAGGAGGAAGAAATGGAAGCTCTTCGCAAAAACATGCAATTCGAGATCGACCGCTTGACCGCCGCTTTGGCTGATGCTGAGGCTCGCATGAAGGTACCGTAACCGCTTTACCGTAACTCGATATAAACAGAACATCCAAATGACCCGTTCAGGCGGAGATCTCCCGACTGAAGAAGAAGTACCAAGCCGAAATTGCCGAGCTCGAAATGACCGTCGATAACCTGAACCGTGCCAACATTGAAGCCCAGAAGACGATCAAGAAACAATCTGAACAGCTCAAGATCCTCCAGGCCACCCTCGAGGATACTCAACGCCAACTCCAGCAAGTGCTCGACCAATACGCTTTGGCTCAGCGAAAGGTAGCTGCTAGTTGGCTTTGCCGGATCCGTTGCTTCATAGCATTTTTCTTGGCTTTCGCGCCGAATTACACTCTCCCAAGTGTAACATGTTGTGTTACGGTACCTTACGGACGTCAAACTGCGGATAAGTAGGTGAACAGCTGTGCATCCGACGTTTTTTCCCCCGTAGCTGACTCGTGGGGCTGAGCTGAGCTCTGAAACTTGGGCGAAAGTTGGGAATCGTTGCAGGGGAACGCTTGAACGTGGGTGTATCTGAGTCATTGGTTTACTTTCAGGTCGCTGCCCTTTCGGCTGAACTTGAAGAGGCTAAGACCGCTCTTGACAACGCTATCCGTGCTCGTAAGCAGGCCGAGATTGATCTCGAAGAGGCTAATGGACGTATTGCCGATCTGTCTGCTATCAACAACAACCTTACTTCGATCAAGAACAAACTCGAAACCGAACTCTCAACCGCCCAGGCCGATCTCGATGAGGTTAGTTACCAGATGTGCCCGCCCAGTTACCCAGTTGTCGCCAACTCAGGTAACCCTTGGTGTTTAGGTCACAAAGGAACTGCACGCTGCTGATGAGCGTGCCAACCGCGCACTAGCTGATGCTGCTCGCGCCGTCGAACAATTGCACGAGGAACAGGAACACTCCATGAAGATCGATGCCCTCCGCAAGTCTCTCGAGGAACAAGTACGGCTTTGATTCCCGAAACGATATGGCAGCATTACGGTAGCGCCACACTGACCCAATTGTTCTTTCCAGGTCAAGCAACTCCAAGTCCAGATCCAGGAAGCCGAAGCCGCCGCACTCCTTGGTGGAAAGCGTGTCATCGCCAAGCTCGAAACCCGTATTCGAGACCTCGAGACCGCTCTTGATGAGGAAACCCGCAGGTACGGTAGCTGATACAGTAGTAGGTAGTCTAGCTACGGTGGTGACCTGATGTATCGGTGGTGTTCTAGACACAAGGAGACCCAGAACGCCCTTCGCAAGAAGGACCGCCGTATCAAGGAAATCCAGCAGTTGGTGGACGAGGAGCACAAGAACTTCGTTATGGCTCAGGATACTGCCGACCGTCTACAGGAGAAGTTGAGCATCCAAAAGAGGCAACTTGCCGAGGCCGTAAGTATCTTCTTCCTTTCTGTGTAGACGTTTCTTTGCCAGCTTACCCTTAACTAAGCCGTTTTGCAGGAATCCGTTACAATGGCCAACCTGCAGAGAGTGAGACGATACCAGCACGAGCTCGAAGATGCCGAAGGACGTGCCGATCAGGCTGAATCCAGTCTACACCTGATCCGCGCCAAGCACCGTTCATCTGTTGTTACCGGAAAAGCCGGAGCTAGCAAGGTTAACTTCGAATAAGGCCCCTCAAAGCGCTGAATAAGGACCTCCAACCTGAATAAGGCCCTCCAACCGCTACGTATCTTTCTTGGCCAAACAGGAACCCTTTTTTTGGTACAAATGGGAGGCGGTAGGATTCAGGGCAACTTCCCTAACTCTACCCAAACATGCTCAATGATAGAATATCGATTGACGCTGAACGCTCGACGCTCTTCCGCCCTCGCTATCTTTCCATAAATGGGCTGAGCGAATTTTCAAGTGTCTCTCTTGAGTGGCTACAAAAATGACGAGTAATTTGAGATGTTCCATCGCCTCAGAACTGCTCTGTAGATGTCTTTTCGGAGAAGCCTCAGTCTACCCTTACCTATACCTAGACTTTACCTCCCTCCAGACCTCCTGAACCGATCTGAGATGGTGTTTTCAGGTTTACGTGATGGAAGACGACTTCTAAGCGTTCTACTTTCAACAATCACGATTAACAATTCCCTTTTCCGTCCATCATCATCAATCACACATCGACGCAATCAGCCCAAGAACCGTGATGTGCTTTGTGTTCAGCTAGTGAACGGCCATCAACGTCATCATGTCTTTGCTCTTGTATATTGTTGGATGTTGTAGTGCAATAGTGTGTGCATGTGCGCGTGGCTTGCTGCCTTCATTTTCATCATTCATTTATGAAAAAAACCCCAAAAAAAACCAGCAGGAGGAGTTTTTCATTGATCGTTCATCGCTCTGTCTCTTTTTCCTTTGCCTTTTTTCAGCCCCTCGATCGACCCCCGCTATTGTAACACAGCGATAGACACCACCTTTTGTGGTGATACGAGAGTCCCAAATTCTCATACATACCGTATACTCTCGTTCTGTCGCTCTCTTTTTCCTACCGTAATGCCGCTGTTTATGGTCAATGAGAGGTGTTTTTTTTNCCCCCCCCCCCCCCCCCCTCCCCAACCCCCATCTTCGCCCGGCGTCGATGTCATGTGTATTTCGCGCAGATCATCATTATTATATGAAAGGAAAGGGAATTCACATTGATTCTTCATGAAAATTGCCTTATACCCCCGTTTAGCTACAATTCTTTCTTTCTCACTCTGCCTTATGAAGTGTTGAACGAGTAAATGAAAATTATGTGAAATTCACTGTGTATTGACAGAAGGATATGGTAAAAACACACCAAAACACTCGTTACCTGCCTGTGGACACTATACGTTGAAATTGGGCGTGCGGTCGCGAAGCGGTCGGATTGCTGAGGACATGTTTTGTGACTGCAAACGACATACTGCTATCCAAGTCATGAACGAGAACATAAGACTCAAAGATCTGAGACCCTTCCTACCACTAGTCAAATTGTCTTCAAAGTGTGATCAGGAATAGGGTATCGATTGACGCTCAGCGCTCATTGTCTTCAGCTGAGAGAATGGAAAGAGATCAGAGGGGAGGAGAGTTAGGGAAGGACAGGAAGGGAGAGAATACTGAGTCTCCGTATCATTCAAGGAGTAAATGGAAGATGGTCGATCATTTGAGAATACGCCGTGTACCCATCTGCCACGTCGGGCCACTGAGGCGATTGATTGGATAGTTAGCCCAGGAAATCGATTTCAGCAGTTGGTCCATATCCCAATGATTACTTCCTTTGCAAATACATGTCTGGTACGAGATAGTAACTTTCCGAGGAAAGAAAGGGTTTGTGACATAGTTGCGAGTGTGGATCCGCAGTGTCAGAATGCAACACTCTGGCCGTATCAGTATTCTGATTTTCAGCACGCTTACGAATAGGTATTGATTTTACGCTTGTGCGGCCAGTATTTGCCTATACTTATCTACGCTAAAATGGTTTCATTAAGTATAAAAGTAACATTAAGGTCGAGGGGATAGGCACGCTGGTCATTGCTGCAGGTCGCTTAATCACCAAGATGTACTCAAGCGCTGGCAGGTAGTTGTCGAGGGTACGCTGTTTTATGGCAGGACGGGAGCCGGGAGGAAGGGAGTCCTTTACAGATGATTTCCTTAATTTAATGGGCTTGCAGCTTTTTTGTTAGTAAAGAATGGCTACATCGGACAAGTCGAAATGATTATTTGGGTCGAATCGTAAGCAGCACAGCACAAGCTTAGTCCCCGTAATGACATTTTCAATTGTTTGGATAGTTCTATCAGAAAGTTGAATGGTAGCGAACAGATGGAACCAAGTATGTTATTGTTTTAGGGCGAGGCGGAGCTATCATCCATGGGCGGGGCCCTCCCCCTCCCCCCACCCCTCTAGGTTCGATTTAAGCAGTGTTGTAGAGCTTATGGTTATGTTGAAAAGTGGTGATTAGAAGCAACTTATCATGGATGATAGTGCTGTCTATAAAAGGGGTTGAAGAATGTGTTTTGGCAATTATTTCTACCCTTACTCGCGTACTAACAGCTACTACAGCATGAGATATTCGCCTCACGTTCTTGTGGCAAAAACCCCAAGCCGATTGCGACATTCACGTGTACATGTGAAATCCAGCAGTCGACAGTGAGTTTCCCCAAGAATCATCGGGTTGAAAAGCTCTGAGCAGCAAAAAATGGCATCGAAGTATCGATTTTTTCCTTGGACCATAAATGTTAGGTACGAGTTGGGCAATCACTAATACTGCATGGTGGGAGTCTGATGATAATCATGCTTTTTGCTTTTGAGTCCAATGAGTTTTTGTTTGAATGAACCCTATACGCTTTCAATCATTCCAGCAAACATGGGCATAAATCGGGAACAAGGCGCGGCCTGGTAGCAAATCAATTGTTTCAGGGTTTCGCCCGTTGAACGACGTCTTCATGAAAAACGATTACTTGCTAAAATAATTGAAACTAAAAAAAGAAGACTAAAGTTAGAAGTATGTTCATGTGGTAACCAACTCAAAGAAAAAACCAAATTGGTACGATTTTCAGCAGATTTACAAGATTTACTTAAAATTCGTAAAAGCTCTGGAAAACGAACTGCGTATACAAGAAAGGGAAGTGCAAAATGTGAGTCGGCTAGAATAGATCAACTGTTTTAGCCCTATGAACATCTAAAACGGCTCACCTGTCTCCTATGGCAGCGGTCGAGCCGCTACGCGGCCGCGCGCGCCGATGGGGTGCATAACACACAGACGGTTGCATGTAATTGTTACCTTAAGGAATAATTTGTTCTTCAATTGAGGCCTGTTCACACAGGATTGGAAAGCCCAGAAAATCTCATGGGAGCACAAAAGACGTGGTCATCAGGTCCGATTGGACTGTTGCCTGTCTATGAGCCGAATCTTTGTATGTAGACCGCAGTAAAGGTCTGTGGGCGGAGTTGTCTGGAGTATACTCGTCTTGGAGGGAAACTACTGACACGTTAGTAGACCTAAACCGCCACAATAGGGAACCGAATGACGATATGGTCATCACTGCGCAATCAGGTCCATCTACATGGGTTCCTTCAAATGGGCATTGATAATACTGGCTCATATCGCCTGGATCGATATCCATCTTTTCTATGACTCCATTTTCATCTCCTCATTCGAGAACCGTCATTACCATAATCTACTGGACATCAATCAGTCCTATTCAGCAGCAAGTTCCTTGAATTTTCAATCCTTTTTAGGCTCTCGACAAATTGATGCAGATTCTAGCAAGTGAAGAAACCTCTGAAGGATCGAAGCACTATGGGATTCTCCTAGAAGCGGTACATTACTGTTTATGCAGAGATTGACGTCAGAAGTAGAGTTGTTTGACGATTTCAGGGAGATACAGTAACTGATATCAGTGGATTACACCCGTTGGATACGGAAGAACTTTGCCCCTTATCAGATTCTACATTATCCCCTCAGACCCTATCCAATCGCAACTACTTGGCTTCAACTCTTGACCCCCTTAAATGAAAGCAATCATAGATTTTTACTTGATAAAAACTCGGTTTACTCGTATTTTGTGCACTTGTTGACAAAATAAATATTTTTTCATAAGGTTCAGACATCCAAGAGCTTGCATCAGCAACCTGGCGTTACGCGAACTCCTCCGACTGGAGGAGTAGACTAAGATTCAGAAATAGTATTTTTGATTGACACAGTGGTAGTTTGTGATCGATTCTGGATGGTGGGAAAAACAGGATTTGAGTGAGCAGCCAACTTATGGGAGTGCTTCACCATTGACAGTTTTCGCGCTCCATTCATAATCCATGCTCCATCGTGACATTTCTAGATTTCAATCGCCAAGTGTTGTTTGCTTTGTCAAGTTTTTCGGTTATATTTCGCATTGTCTCTGAAGTATGAAGTTATTGCTTCTATTTGTTTAGTGGTAGTCATTCATTCCCTTCAGGACACGTCACCATTACGGTATCATTGCGGTTTAGCATAACTTATCATTAGTCTGATCCTTTACTACTACTCCTTCACTATTTCTCTTCTTTATTGCAAGCTGCATTTCCCTTACAGTTTGCCCCATTTTTACTTTGTTTTCCTCTTCAAAGTCCTGAATTGATCTGAATCTCCAATAGCGTTAAAATACTTTGGAAGATTTATTACAAAGGTCATAGGGAACCACTTAAGGGGAAAGATTTGCGGATTCTAGAACAGACACCGCAGTATGGGGCCATCTTCCGGCATTCATACTATGTTTGTCGAATTAACATATTGAAAATTCAGATTTATGAATGTTTTACATGAATATGCAAACGGGTAGGAAAATTTGGAATGGGCTGATTTCCGCATTGTTTAAATTTGGCTGTTCCATTCTCGTATTCCCTTTGACGGCACTTTGTTTCCACCATTTTTGCTTCATTTTGCTTTTAAAATGGCCTTGTTGCATGTACAGGATAATCTCAGCCCAGCAGTTCAGTTTAGCATCGGTTCTTTCTTGAAAAATGAAGTACAGCGGGATTTTGGAAGATTTTTTTCATTGTTTTCTTTACTTTGAAGTGTATGCATTAGAAAATTCTTTGCATTTCTTTCCGATAAGTGTTTGGTGTGGCCTTTGTACTCCTTTCAAGCATCATTTCACAGCTTGAACGTTTTGGACATTTGTTGTTCAGTCCTAATCATCTGTATGTATGCTTGTTTATTTGTTTCTCTGAAGGCTGAACTTGTTTATGAAGTTAATACCCACTTCAGAAAAAACCTGGTGGGTATGTGCTTCGAAGTGTGGAGCTAGTCATAATGCAGTCATTTATCGTGCATTGTGCCTGTCGATAATCGTGCTAGTTGTAAAGCGGTGATAAGCTTCAAAAAGATGAATCATATGTTGGCACTGTTCTTCACGCCAATATTGTCCTCTGCCTTCATACCCCTGATTTTTCAAAATTCTTTGTAGCAAAGAATAACTCTTCTGAATTTTTTCGCTCAGTTTCTCATTAGACTTAAAACCGTTTCACTTTTTTTTGTATGAAAACCCACTGTAACTGGATTCCTTTTTCATAAACCGTTCCAGTATGCCATTCGATAGTGTGGCCGAGTATTTCACTACGCTCAATCGCCTCATCGAAACAGCAACATGGACAAGTGCAACGAATGCTGCCAAACTGCTTGCGATTAATGGTGAACACAGCAGTCTCCCGTTTCTACATGTAGGTAAATGTGCTCTTCTTATATTTGGCTATCTGGTGGAAATTTTTGTTCATTGAACTTTCAATGTCCTTTAAATATTGTAGTCCTGTATCATGTCGTCACCTCTGACAAAGCCCATGACTTCCTGACCATGTGCTTCTCATGGAGTTTTGGCTGAAATCAGCATACAGAAAGAAAAATCCTAGGGTTCTTACAAGACCCTTTCGCGGTATCTTTTCACTTGGCACGTCTCAGATATCAATGTATAGATTATTGATGATCAGGGGTTTCATTACCTTCTCGTCCCTGCTCCCATGTTTCTTCCTTGGTCAGAGGAAGGGATGAAGTACAGGAACTGCTTCCACTTCGTGGCCGTTGTTTGAGAGGGGAATCATATGCCTTCTTTATAACGTTCGATGGTAGAACTTTTTTTTCTCTCCACCTCTTCATCAGCAGTTAGTCCTCGTATACTCAACTATCACCAACAGTTGCATTATGATTTTCATGGTATTCCGTGTTTTGTAGGCGATTCTTTACAACTCACTTAAATACGTACGTTTCACGTACATACGCTAAACAGGGCATTACGAAAGGTCATCTCGGGCTACGCTCACACTATTATTTCATACGTGGTCTATGCGAGTTCGAATTCGAATCACAGGTGTCGGGTTTTAACCAAAGACGACAACTTGTACTCTACGTGATTGGTGATTTCAAGATATTAGTGATTTGTTATTGAAGCTACCCTCTACATAGGATATTTTGGCATCTCACAACAGAAATGTATCAGATATGATGACCAACGGCATTCTCAGATTCGCACAGAGTCGTCTCATGCTCACATTTCTGTTCATTAGAAGCTTTGCGTCTGTCCTTGATTCGTTCCACTTATTCGTATGCAGTCACTCAATCAGAGTTGGGCTTCAGCAAGTGTTAGGCTGCTTTCTGACTTCAACGAACGACCGACCGACCCAAAGACGGCCACATGGTGAAAATACCGGACAGATTGCGTTTACCAAGCCAGGGTTGTCCCCACGTGGCCAGCGAGCGCCGTCGGTTGGTCGGTCAGCCGTTGAAGTCTAAAAGCAGCCTTATGGGGACCGGCGGCACGTTTTGTACTTCACTGAGTCCTCGATAACGATCTTTTTATAATCCTCCAAATAATACTAATGGACATGCGTCTATTTATTGTGGCCTACAAACATGGTCACGCTACTGAGTAGAAGTCAAATGTGTGGGTTTTCTTGCACAAGATGGGGTTCGCGAGTCCTTGACATACATTTTTTTTTGTTTTTGTTGATACTTACCTTGTGGCATATATACTGCGCTGTGTCATTTTTTCAATATTAATGGAAATTATATCTGTTATAGTTCAGCAATTCCTATATACTATTCCAGATTGAAGCATATGGCTCCAGAAAAAGTCGTTCGTACATTGACGATGAAGCCTTTGATCAAGTCACATGCTTACATCTACAAGTTATATACCACATCAATGTTTCCCACAACTACGAGGCTGCTTATACAACTCATACTCAGGTAATTCAACTAGTTACTCATAGAATTTCCAACGTCGATATTCTCTGGGGAAGTCGTTTCTATTTTGTCTTGTCGGATCATCCCCTTCTTATTTTCCGTATTTTTCTTTTTGAACCTTGGGTTGTGCGGCACTGAAAACTGAAAATTTCCAGATAATGCAAACGTTTAATAAGGAAGTTCTCCAAAAGAAAAAAGAAGTAAACTGGTTTATGCCAATTTTTCACCAACTGTGTCGAGATCTACTGAATGTGGCTAGAATGGTAGGTCACTGAATCATCAGCTTTTTTTCTTTCTTCAAATCCGGCTCCTTCATTTTTTTTTCGTTTTTCAGGCTGATGAATTGACCGAAAAAGACGATGAAGTCGAAAATATTTCCTCTTACTATGAGCAGTCTGCCAACTATATCATGGAAGCGTACAGAACGTGTACTTCTGATGTGTGAGCATCTCTCTTATTTTAATATTCTAGAAGTATTTTCTCCTTACAGCTCAATCTTATTACGCGCTGCAGAAATTTTCTGGGAAAAGTTTCTGCTGTGATAAGGTTAACTGGCATAAGAGAAACAAGGGCGTTCTCTTTCTCTGAACTCTGCTCCATTATTCTGATTGAATTTCTTATTTATTGCTCAGCTTTTGTCGCCCACTCGTCATTTTGTGACTGGCAGTTTGAGGGGCATAGAAGTTGGACAATGGATAAGTGCAGCCGCCTCATATTTTTAATGTATTTTTGATGACCTTTTTTGCTATTCTGCAAGTCATGAAGGCAGGGTTCTGAAGGTTGACTGGGGAAGCTCGAATTTTTCGTGAAATCCCTGATGTAACACCTTGCAAAATTGTTTAGTCAGGTTTTGTAATAAGTTTTAGGGTCTCTAATGGTCAAGGATGGGTCTCTGCTTAAACCACTCTCCCAAAACATGTTTGGGTCATTAAATATTGACCATATTTATGAACTATAGAATCGCTCTGATTTCGTAGCGTCACATTAAATTCCGATAAATATATGAAGAAGGAGAAACTCTTCAACACCCCTTGGTTCCCCTCATTTTCTGTCAGAAAACTGCAAGTTTTTCAGTAGAGCAGATCCATCAACGACAAAAAAGATTGCCATCCTCAACATGACAAATCAATTGTTCCGAATTTACTTCAAGGTAGGTCCTTGGTATAGCTCTTAACTTCTCTACAGGTTTTTGCCTCTTTTTTTAATTTTGCTGTGATGTTGCAGATTAACAAATTAAATTTGCTGAAACCATTAATTCGCGCTATAGACAACTCTGGCTCTCTGTATCAATCATTCTCCATGGCTGATAAAGTCACATATAACTATTTTCTTGGTCGAAAAGCTATGTTCGATGCAGATCTGCCTTTGGGTTTGTTGTTATTTGTTTTGCCAAAATTTGTTCTGGTTACTTTTTTGTGTTGGAAAGAATGATTCTTCTATGATTGAGCTCTTTTGATGGATGTTCAAGTTGTGGAAAGTCCTGAATAAGATTTCAAGTTTTTTTGCTTTTAGCCGAAAAATCGTTATCCTATGCATTTCGCAATTGTCCTGCTGAATGTCTTTCGAACAAAAGACTGGTGCTCATATATCTCATTCCCGTTAAAATGTTTCTGGGTCATATGCCTACTGCTCAGTTACTGCATAAATACCAACTGGATGAGTTTGTTGATGTAAGTTTTGTTTTAGAACTGCTTTTGGTGATTCATGATTATTCTGACACATGGTATCGATTGATTAAGGTTGTGGAGGCGGTAAAGGAGGGCAATCTAGCAAAATTGGATCAAGCACTTGAGACGAATGAACACTTTTTTATACAGTGTGGTATATTTTTGATGTTGGAAAAGTTGCGTGCAATCACCTTCCGAACACTTTTCAAGAGAATGTAAGTCTAATAGGCCAACTTTATTTCCTGTGCTGTCTACTTTGCTTTGTGCCGTAAGCTCATTTGAAGAACTCACTTCACTCAGACTCTGTTTCTTAGCGGAGCTTTGAATTCTAAAGCGTTCAAATCCTATTATCGCTCGGGAACAAGTTCACCAAAACAGCTTTCGCGTCATCGTAGGCGCTCTGCTAGCAGGACTGAAGGGAGTGCGTGAATGAAATTTTTGCTTGTCAGACTAGTAAACGGGTTTCCTTTCTTTTTAAAGCACCTTTCCCCCACCGCACTTTCCTTTTTCTCCTTTTCCTCTCCATGGTTTACAACAGTACAGTCATCCGCAACGATTTAAGTTGTTTGAATTTTCAAAACTGAGTTCTATGAAGTAAGCTGCGAAGGTCTGTACAGTATACTGTAGACAGATCATGCAGTTCATTCAGCGCCTTTGCAGTGTTTCCCTTGTTGCCTGTATCGCAATGTTCCCTTTCTCGATCTCGCGTTGAGATAATCATAGGAGAGACATTTCTTCCTTGTACTTTCATCGCGCCGAGCTGCAAGTGCTGTTCTTTCCCGCCTATAAGTTCCGCTTGGCAATTGAAGAGATGAGAAGAGCCTTTCAAGAGATGCCCCGCAAAAGTGTGACTATGCACAGAACCAATTTTGTTTAGCTGAATTTAGTTAGATTTCTCTCCCTTTCTGGTTATATACTTTGGAAAGTAATCTTTATCTGTTAATCTTTCTGATATTAACAGATTCCCATGCGTTCATTTCGATAATGCGGTTGGCTGCTTCATTCAGAATCTGGCTTGACTCATGAAAATATTAGTGTTGTCTGCCTTTGCCTTTCCCCCATCAACAGCGTCAACAAAGAATTCCATGGGGGACAGAAAAACTCTTGAGAGGCTGAAGTGAATCTCTTCTGCCTCTCATGCAAATAGCTCCTCTTGGTAATAGTCATTTTCACTTCGAACTTGGCTTTATCACCTCCGTGGGATGTGGAAAGCCACCTAATCCAAACGCTTTGCATCTTATCGCTAGGATGGGACTAGCTGTTCTGTTAGAAAATAGTATTGTTACGTTTATACATTTATGAACGAGATTTTAGTAATATGGTTAGTATGAATCCCTGATCTGGGAATTTCTGAATATCATTTAAGATCCTATACTTTTAAGATCAACTATTATTGGAGGAAATCAAATTCCGCTCAAAGCCTTCTACACCATTATCCAGTATCTTGGTGTGACCGATGTTGATGAAGACGAGTTGGAGTGTATTGTTGCAAATCTTATTGCGGAGGTAATGAGGAATTTCTGTATTTTCTATCACATATTCTTCTCGGGTTTAAAAGTAAAAAAGTGCGACTGCTTTTTACGAGAATTACTTGTTTGAAATTTCCTTGTCAGGTTTTCTACTAGTCAAGCAGTTTGTAACCCTTTTAATTCTTTTTTATAACTCTGAGGACAATGAGAGAGGTTTTGTAAGGCAGCATTGACTTGTACACCTTCTCAATCGGAAGTGTACGAACCGATGCTGCCTTTATAAGCCCTCTCTCATTGCCCTTATATGGACAACCTTTCAACGCCTCTGTGGAAATTGAGTCTCTACGGTTGTAAAAGTCGCTCTGTTGTATTAAAGTAACTGTCAAGATGTCTAGTACCTTGTGGGATTATTCAGTGGCGTCACGATGAAAGGTCTGGGCATTAATTGCCAAGAAACTCTTCTTAGCACTTTCGCTTTTGGGCGGTTTTCACTGAATGTGCTTACGTCGCTGCATTTATGTGTATGCGTGCAGAGATGGGCGTGTACGCCTCGGCTGTTTTTTTATGAAACTGCCGTGGCAGCTTTTTCGAAGTTCTGGGAAGTGTGGAATGTGTAAAAGTTTTTACGAATGCTCAGTTTTGACGACCACTTTCTCGTTTCCATGAGAGAACGCTCTGAACAAGACAGAACTTTCAAAGAGTTTCAAGGCACGTTAAAAATTATAAAAATGGCTATTTTTCAGAAGAAAATCAAAGGATACATATCGCATCAACATCAAAAATTGGTCGTAAGCAAAAAGGATCCATTTCCACCGCTATCATCGGTTTAGTTTCTTATTGCATAGGTTTTACGAGTTTCAGTGTTGGTGTAATTAATATTGTATGATTTTCACGTTGTTTACATTTCTTTTGCAATTTTTGCACGTGCTGCTCTCATATACATATCCTCTCTGTTATGCTTAACGTTACTACGGGTATTTCCTTAGACATATTGTTGAAGCTACGAATACATTCTGTTGGCCACGCCAATTTCGGTGGAGAACCAAATAATCTCGGGTATTTTTGGAATTAGAGATTTCTTTGGTCGTAATCGTTATCCGCCATTGCGGTAAATGGCTTGTGTAATGGGGAATGGTCATAAGAGGGAAAACCTGCTTGGAGTATTGGTTGGTGTCATTATTCCTCTGCACTCTATCCCCATTCATGGTCATGGTTTAATTGGGCCGAGTGGAAAGCCTGTCGTAGTCTTTTAGTCCCAGACTTTGATTCTCCATCGAGAGATCCCAGAGGAACCCTAATGTATTTAGGACTATGGCAGAAAATCTTTTTTGCAATCATAGGAAGTGAAGGGTTACCTTTCACTATGTTCTAGTACTTGGAACGAAGATGAAATTCCGATTAGTTTGTGCTACCTGTGCCTTAGTCGGTCAGACTTCTTCATTGATCCTCTGAAGAAGGCTATAAAGCCTCACGTGCCTCATCAGGCGAAGACCTTTAGGATCACGACGTTAAAAAGAACGAGCAGTTTTACGTGCAGTTCCAAGGAGTAACTTGATATCGGATGCCTAACGTCATGGCGCTTTTTGTCGCCTCGAGGAATCCTGTCGGTGTTCGTTTGGTTCAGAGAATATCAGCCATAGCAATTCTTGTTGGGATCATTGGATAGTCGATATCGATGCAAAAGCAGCTAATTTTTAAATTTTCTCTTGTTAATAAGCTCTGAGAGAGTTCCGGCTCACTTGCATGTATCGGGAGAAACCGAAACATTGCATTGTTGGGAACGTGGTTAGGGGGACATGATAACCGGGTATGGTACTTACTCTCAGGAGTTGAAGAAAAGCCAGAGGATCGGGAAGTTTTTGGCTCTGAAGTTGCAGAATCGTAAAGATATTTGATAGTAGCGGCCTGTTCCGTAATGAATTCATGGTGTTATTTCATAATTTGAATGATTGTAGTGTTACATTCAACAAGTGCTTGAAATTCCACATCGGAATGTGACGTTGGGCCTTCATTAGGGTTTTTTCTTGCGATGATTTGCAATTTCTGACATTAATCTGTAAAGAATTTCATCGATCATTTTTGTTCGTCATTTTTGTTGTTGTTGTGAAAGGCTCTGTTGTTGTTTACTGTTTTGAAACCAATAAATAATTCTCATTCCGACGTTCTTGTGTTTAATGGATCGATGTTGAACACTCATCTTTATATCGAAACAACTGGAGAATATGTGAATATGACTTTGCCTTATGCCCTCTTTCTTAGCTGAAACCTTTGTAAATGTTGCTTTTTTTTTGGTAGTAAACGTGGTAGAAGCCTATTAAAATGGAAATTCCCGACGTAGTTATTCTCGGCGTGCACATATGGCACACAGATTGTTGCTTTTGGCCGCTAGTCGGCCCCAATAGTACAGCTTTACGTTATCGTTTCTAATTCTGAAAAACTTTTAGGGCTTTGTTGTTACTCGAGGTTACTGTGCAGTAACAATCACCCCATTGTGAGTAGTATTTACTTTATTACTTCGGTCTGATTTCATTTTTATTCAAAGCACTAAGTAGTATGGAGTCAAAAGTATTATTTTTTTTATTTACGTAGATTTTCTAGTGATTATCTAGTGAAACCCGCATAAGCATCGATGTATTTGCTCAAAATTTCAATTGGTCTTATTTACTTAAATTTGGGTTGTTTCTTTTTTTTTCATTGAAATTTATTCTTTCACTCGATTATAGTACAAGCACCATCTCTGCGATGCTATTTCATAGAATTTCGCAATCATTTTTCCCAGTTTGCATTTAATGTCGTTTTTACCTTTTGGAATAAGTTATGATTCGCGATGGGTTTCGTAGTTTCGATGCCAAATTGGTAATACTAATACATCTTTCCCATCTGAAACGCTCAATTTCGATCGGTTCTTTTCGTTGATATTAGATTTTTGGACTCTCAGAATGACTTTTGAAGGAACTATCAGTTAAATGTGAAACTGGTAATTTTTTCTCGAAATACGCAGGCCCCAAAAGAGGAGGGGTTGAATCGAAATCTTACTTTTCACTTATGCCGTTCCAGCGATCACTGAAAACTGATAGAATTCAAAGTATAATGCCGGCTACCAATACGGGCATATTTAGTACAATCATATGATTTTAGAGGTTTTTGCCTCACAAAATACATATGTCCTTTGTTCAAATTTAAATTCAGCCACCTTTAAGATTACGAAAAATTAAACCAGTTTTCGGAATATTTGACCTTTTGTGTAATTTTTGGAGCGCTGTTTCATGTGCCGGCTGTGGCGGCACGGTTTTCAAACGAATGCCGTATCTATGGGTGTATTATTTTATTATTTATATATTACTTTGACATTTTGCCCCGATAATGGGAGACGAAATTGACTTGAGTGAACATTTGGCTGTTAATCACTCTTTTCTCAATTGATTTTGTGTTTACCTAATTCAGCAGTGCACAGTGCATAGTCATTAGCATTGTTTATTTTTAAGTAAACATACGAAATATGTATATACATGATCGTTCGATTTTCAACTGGATTCGCTTTAGGAATTGTTTTACAGATATAAGGTGTATGGACCAGAAGTGGAGGTATGATCTGGCCAGTTTACTACGAGCACATAAACCTCATCAAGTTACGGTGACATGTAAGTTGATTGCCGTCTAATCAATAGTTTCGTGATTTCCACTACTATTCTGATTTTTCGTTTAATATCGTATATTCTAGGTAAGGGCAGTGATAATGGTTTCATTGCATATCAGAATGCGATTACGGCTCGCTTTTTGCAGCAGCCAGTTGTATGGAAAAGGTGAGTGAGCTTCGAAAAAGTTTACTATTAGTATCACTGTTTTTTACAGCCCTGTTTCTGAAATTTTAAATAGTTTTGTGATTTGTTGTTTTCTCCGCGAGTTTCTCTTACATTTGATTTGGACGGTGGCACGCTGGGTGCCCATTGGCTCCATGACATCATGTTCTTTATGTGAATGGTAGCCAAATAAGTTTCATGAAAAAATATTGTTGAAAATCAAACAATTAAGTTGTCCTTTCATATTTCTTCTTTCGAAAAGAAAGATGAAGAAATGCAAAATTCCTTAAATCATCTTTCATTTACGTCGGCGTAGCACGAGAACGCTTGGGAAATACCTTCATTGTGATGTGGTAACGATTTCGAGAAAGCCTGCTGTGTGTTTGGGTTGTCGTGGGCTTAGATATCGATCCTTATATCTATGAGACTCAATTCTGGACAGTGGGTCGTATAGGAGCTGCCACTTTGTAGTGTGCTTCATTCCCATCTAGCTAGCTAAACCTTAATACAAATGTCAGAAATACTTTCCTCGAGGCCGAGAAAAGTGTTGATCGCATTTCTGATTCAGAAGATGGAGGGGTGATTAAGCTGTGCTAGAATTGTGACTCAATCATGCGGCAAAGACAAAACATGTCTATCATTTGGTTATGCTACCGTCATAAGTGAAGGGGCACAAAAAGAAAACTTCCAATGTTGAGTTGATCAGATATTGAAGTTTCTGGCTCATAAGTCCTTTACAATTGTTTTCCCGTCTTCTGCGTACTTTTCTCCAGTATTCATTCTGAATATGACTTTGACTATTTGTACTGCAACTATACCCAAAAAAAAAATGATAATGACGATGAGCTGAACCTTGGTCCTCAAAGACCCGAAGCTTTAGGTACCTGTTTGTAATCAAAGATGTTTTGATGATTATTTACCATAGCTTTCGATGGCCAATCGGTGTCAGTCAGTGTTCCTGCCTAGGCGAGGCTAATTACATTTCACTATTTCATTACACTACCATGGAAAATATGAAAAGCGTAACTGGCTTGGGGCTATTTGTTAGAGCCGGATTCGATAAGGATATATCCGACTAAGTTTGCTATGACTTGCCTTCTCTGGAGTGTTTCGTCCTGGTATCATTTGAGTGGAAAGTGGGGAATCAGTTCTTCTTACATCACTCAATCCGTCTCGTTTTTTTTTTCTGGATTTCTATAACAATTCCTTTTCAACCTTTAAAAATTTAGCTTATGTGTTTAGGCAAGGAAAGCCTTTCCCGCATCCTTTGACGTTTTCATTGAAATTTTGTGCGTTCGATGAGAGCCTATGTTTTGGACCACATATGACACATTCGGATCTGCCGAACATTGCGTATCTTCATGTATTTGTGATAGATTCAGCGGTATGTCTAGTTCATATAGAGGAGGCTATTTTGAAGCCGTAGTGCTTTCAAAACCTTCAGCTTTTAATTTTTCAGTCCGTGGATGAATATCGAACATCTGTCCGTTACAATGTTTCTGAATGGTTCGCCAAGGTTGGTGACAGCTTTTACCCTTACCTCAAACTTTTCCTCTTGGACTTAGAAGAGGATGAGAGCTGTTCGATTTGATTTTTGTATTGTATTAAGCTTTAGGTAAGCACTAAAAGTGATGTGCAATGGTTAATCATCATTGATTCGACCAGAGCAAAAGAGAAGAAGAATAGACCAGCTTTGATAGAGAGATTAAAACATGATTTCAGTAAGCATACGTCGAGGTTTGTGCCGTTTATGTGACTTCTTCGATTTTTTTTTAGTCACAGCTATATTTTTTCTTGATAGAGATGTAACGAATTGAGTGGGGAATTGTTTTCTCCATCCAATTTCACGATTTCTTGCAAGTACTTTGTACCGCATTGTGATCTCTTCGTGAGGAGGCTTCCAGTAATCTGGGGAATCTGATTAAAATCGTAACTTTTAAGGCTGATCGAAGTGTCAGAGTCAGTAGAACATGGCTCGTTCATGGGTTTGGTGCAAGCGGTGCAAACTGCTTTGCTTGCCCACCTCGACATTCTCAGTGACACCTGGGAAGCGTCTCTCATCACTGCTAGGGAGAAATATATTGAAATGAATTGGAGTTTGTCAAACTTCTGTTCATCAACAGTAAGTAACAAGTAATTTTCTATTTGCCTTCTTGAATACCGCAGTTCAGCTGCTAATTGATATGTTTCGGATACATTTATGCTTTCTATAGTACATCTTTAGTCAGCTATTGGAGACATTACCATGTTTAGATGGAGTTTGCTCGATTATATTGGAGTCTGGGAGCGTATGAACATGCGATGCAAATGTATGATGATCTTGACGTTCATCTTTTCGATATAATCAACAAAATGGCTGAAGAAGACGGTAAGTACTGAGCTGTTCTCTAGTTAGAGTTGTTTTTGGCTTGAGTTCCCTTCCCCATGGTCAGCTTACTCTGTGCTTGAAAGCTTGAAATTTTTCCTCTCATAGAGGCACTGTCCAAGAAGTGGAGGTTTTTTTGGAAGGATAGGTGCAGAGAAGCGGCTATTAGGCTACTCAAAGCTTCGTTCTTTCTTATTTTTGATTGTTTTCATGGTGGTATAGTAGGAATGAAACCAGTGGCCTATTTTTAGCAGGACGGGAACCCCGTTGGCTTGTTGCTCTTCGAGCGGCCAATCTTCCGTTTCGGTCACTTTATTCATCATTCGAGCAGCCAAAACTTGATTGCAAGAAAGACCATAGCCTTGTTGGTGAGGAGCTTCATTACTTGCGATTGCTGTATCATTTTTGTTTTTTGATTTTTATTTCTCTATAACCTTTTTTAAGTTTGGGTTACATCAAATTGTTTGAGCTTTTGAATTGTTGAGCTTTTGAATAGTGACAATCGTTTCCCCAAAGTGCTGATGTGCTTGACTCAAAATGACGCATCTCGTTTTAGCCATTCGACATTTTCTTCTGGCACAACAGATTCTGTTGAGTCTCTCTCAGTACAACGCAAAACATCGTTCACGTGGTGCCCCACCGTCGCTCAGGGTCGATTTCGCTGCTCTGGTATTGCGATATACCCATCGAGTGATGAATATCGTTTTGGAACAGTCACGAACTTCTTTGGTGGGTTTCGAGGCGACTGTATCTTTTGTATTATGGAGAAAGCGAACACCTTTCGATTCTCTAAATGCTTGTTTCCTTTCAAGATTGTCTTTCTGCTTCACTATTTTGAAGTTCGGAAGAGATCCTTTCCGCAATCATCTAATTGATATTTTGGCATTTGTTTTTGGAGAAGTTGGAAGTGTAAAAGGCAGTATCAGTCACTTTCAGTACCCTCGATTTCAGCTGTTTTTGACTTTTTGTGACTGGGTAATATTTCAAATTTTTGCAGATGAATGTATCCGTTGCTCGCCTAGCATGTTGGTGTCTTGTTGTGTCGAGTGAAGCGTTACATATTGCTGGTTTGCTGGCCGATCCGTCAACCGTCGAAGGAGCTGCCGCAGCTTTATGTGGTATTCAAACGCAAAGATTCTACTCTGTGAGTGTTATAAGGATTATGCTTAAGAGTGTATTCCAGTAA